GTCTGGGCTGCGGGTCGGCGCTGTGGGTCGGTGCTGACATCTGATCCTGGGAGTGAAAGCCGATCGGCTCATTGATCAGCCGGACCGGGTTCTGGGTCAGGGGTCACATATATCATATATCAGGGATCTTGCAGCTCTGAATTATTCACAGAACCAGAACCTGACGACGAGAACCAACTGAATCATGTTTCCAGTTTATGCTCAGTCGATGTTCTAAAGAGGTTGTTTTCATGTAAACGGGTTTGCCTGATAAGTCCTGTCGGGTTTCTCTCTCAGGTGTTTGTTCTAAACTCGGTTCTGTTCCACTGAAAGCTTCAAATGGAGCAGCTGAGCTCCTCGAACAGAAACGAACCAGACTCAGGACAGAACACAACATGGTTCTGCTCCGAGCTCTCAGCTGAACCAAACCTTTCATGTCCTGTTTCCATGGTTCTGAGTCCGACTGACTGAACACGGCTCTAGGTTCTGGTTCCGTGTAGGTTCTCGTAGATGAACTCAGATAAAGGCTCTGACCGGATCGTTCCAGTTCTTTCAGCTCTGAGGTGCTGAGTCAGACCAACAGCTCCAGACGTCTTCTTTCACTTCCTGTTTGAATCGGACCGGCTCAGAGGGAAGCAGATTAAAGCTGCTCCGGTTCTGTCCGACGCTCCGGTTTATATTTAGAGCTCAAAGGAGGTCGAGAAGCTTCTGCTGCTCCAGAGCTTCAGCCGTCAGCGGGCTGAGCCGTCCTGGTCCAGTCTGGGTTCTACTGGGCCGCACACTACGTCCAGTTTAGTTTGATTCTTTTAGAATTTAAATCTATTTTTAAAAAGTACTGCAGAATCAACTGAGTGGTTCCAGAGGTTCTGAGTTTAGCTCACAGTCACACACACACACACACACACACACACACACACACACACACACAGTAGTAGGATTATATAATAATATAGAAACACATTCCCATGGAGTAGCAGAAGGATTATTATTATTATATATATTATATATGAAGTGAAACAGGACCTCATTCATGTAGATATTATTATTATTATTATTATTATATATCATATATCATACATGTGAAGTGAAACAGGACCTCTGTGACTCTGAAGCTTGTGAACCTTCTCCAGCTTCTCTCTGACTTTTATAAACATGGAAAACGTTCGAATGTTTCTCTACAGAAACGTTGCAGGAATGTTGCAGGAACGTTAGGGTCACTCTAAACGGTGTCAATAATTCCAGAAGCTCCAACAACAGATTCCAGTTTGGAGGAATCCGTTCTTATAAAATCTGAATTCTTCTCTTTAAACCACAAAAGTTGGATCAGAACTAGACAGTCATGAACAAGTCATGGGACGGACAGAAAACTGGACCGTTTGTGTCGGAACCTGCAGCGCTCCGACCCACAATGCACTGCAGCAGCTGGTCTGAGGTCAGATGACCGCTGAGCTGAAGGTGAGCGCTGAGGAGGATTAAAGAGGAGGAGCTGCTCAGAGGTCAGCTGCAGGTCAGAGGGTCGGAACCGAGTCAGAACTGAAGGTGCAATCAGCTGATCATGTGATTATTGATTATTGATCAGCTTCTGTCCGTTCTGTTATTCATTCAGGAGGCAGAGCGGCTGAAGTCTGAGGCAGCGACTCGACGACGAGTCAGACGAGGTCAGAGTGAAAGCGTGTCAGCCAAGTCTGGAGTCAGCTGACCCGAACCCGTCACATGTTCAGGATGTTTCAAAGAAGCACAAGGTGTTCTGTCCCACCTGCAGCCTCCAGTCAGACCCCAGAACCACTGGGACCGGTTCACCAGAGAACCAGTGGGACCAGCGGGTCGGTCAGAACTGGACCCTCATACTGGCCCTGATGAGGACAGGCTGAGGGAGCAGGAGTGCCGGAGCTGCAGCTCTCCTGATGCCATCAGAACCAGTTTAAACAGACAAACCCATAAGTGACCAGGTAAACATCCCGGGTCAGTCTGACGGTCCAACTGGGTTTACTGACTTCATAGACTTAGACTTTAACCCATCTGGGGACCATCTGGTCCTGTCTGAGCTCCAGGTTCTGCTTCTGGTTTTTATGTGTGGACATTAAACTAGAACCCGTTCAGATTGTTCTGTAAACCTGGTTAAAGCTTTAGGTTTCTGTGGACCGCTGGAACCGTCACAGTGGCTCCGGTCCCGGTCCGGTTCTTACCTCCGGAACGGTTTCCCCATGCTCCGCTCGCCCTCCGGGCCCTGCCGGCCGCTCGCTGCGGGCCCCGCCGCTCCGCCGCCGGGACGCTGCTTCAGGTCCGGGTCGCTGTCCAGCAGAGAGCCGGTTCCGCTGTCCTGCTCCGCAGTCAGCGAGTTGTTCCGCTTTCGCATCACTGCAAACGTTAAACGGACAGATTAGAACCGGAAGAACCGGAGGAACCGGAGGAACCGGAGAAACCGGCGGCCTGTGGGCGGCAGGAGGCCGTGCGCCTGGCGGGTGACGGAGCGCTGAGAGCCGCTGAGGACGGAGCGCGTCCCGCTGAGCCGCACCGAGATCCGCAGAGAGCAGCTGATCGACGCCGAGCGGCCGCAGCCAATCACAGGCCGCCGAACGCGCCACGTGGTGTGACCGTGCTGCGTCCACGGCCTCCGGGGAGCGTCGGAGCAACGAGCTCCAAAACAAAACCGGTTGGTTGGAATAAACAAGAGCCGCATGGTGCGTTCAGGGGCAGCTCGTACATTCAGCACAGCGGCAGGAGGCTGATGAGTCGCGTCTGGACCAGGCTTCAGGATCAAGACAGTTTTAATGAACCTAATTACCTGTAGTTTAACGAACCTTTGATGTGATTCATGCTGCAGATTTACAACAACAGTGACTCCAGTAAGGACGCAATACTTCACATTTCATCCTCTAAAGGCAGACGTACCGACTCGTTTAAATACTCAGATTACTCTGTAACAACATCCCGACAATAAGAATTAGTACCATCACACAAGAACAGGCCCAAACGGGGAGCAGAGTCCACCAGAACCGCCTGCTCTGTTTTCTACTGTGCTGCTGTTTCTGTTGTAAGGATTCCTCATGGGGACCCTGTTCAGGACTGTTCTGGACCCCAGGGGTCCGTTTCATGAAGCAGGTTTTGTGAGACTGAGTCTGTTCCCCTGAAATGAGGGAAACTCAGAGTTTTCCCAACAGGAGGTACCAGAGACAGACAGCTAACTGACTATCCATCAATCTATCTATAATCTATAACTCTATCTATATTGTGTGTTGTGCTGCATTTCTTCGTACAGTTGGGAGACACAGAGCACCTGAGGAACACACCTGTATGCAGGCGGTCAGAGCAGCGGCCTCGCCCTGAACCGGCTCTGACCCTCTGAAGCTGTCAGAGCTCCAGGAGGAGCTCCACAGGCCTGCAGGTGGACGATGAGGAGATCTGTCAGAGTCATTAGATCATGTTCTGCAGCCTCAGACCTGAACAGTGTTCAGATGTTCCATCTGAGCTGCTGCCCAGTGCGCTGCTCCTCCTCCTCCTCCTCCTCCTGCTCCTCCTTCTAATCCTCCACCTCCTCCTCCTCCTCCTCCTCCTCCTCCTCCTCACAGCTCCTCAATGACATGAATCAGTTTTCTGCCATCCAGCAGCTCTCCTGTGCCGTTACTGATCACAGGACCACATTAACCCTGAGCAGCAGTGTTCTCCTTCCTCCGTCTGCACCTCTTTTTAAAGTGCATCCAGCTCTAGTGGGAGAACAACGCAGGCCTCCGCCTCCCCGTTGCCACGGTGACTGGTGGACTCGGGGCTCCATGGGTGCTGGCTTTACAGGTGTGCTGCAGGCGCTGAACTCCAGGTGAAGCTACTCCCAGCTGATCAAACGAACTCACAGCCGCTGGTCTGGACCCGGACACGCAGAGTTTCCTGTCTCAGAGTGGATCAGACTCAGCGTTTGTTGAACCTGCTTCGTGAACCGGACCCGGACCCGGACCCGGACTCCAGAACCAGACCCGGACCATGTGGTTCAGGTGACTGGTGTTGTGTTTCTATTTTTGAAGGTTTTTTTTAAAATAAAAAGAGGGACGTGTGTCGTGTCTCTGGAACCAAACATCCGTCAGCTTATCAGAACATGTATTTACCTCAGTACTGATACCGACACATCAGAACCTCTCCGGAGCAGCATGAGGTCCTGATCGGGTTCATTCACACGTTTGTTTTCTGTTCCAAACACAGACTCTAGAATATTTACAGTATTTCTGTTGCTTTAGGACGATGATCTGATCTTTAAGCTGCAGTCAACCTGAGGAGACACGAAGGAACCAGACCAGCTGCTGGACCCTGTTGGATGATGTTCTGCTGTCAGAACTTTGTCCGATGGGTTCGGGTCTGATGTTTCTCCACTGACTCTGTAGGAAGGTCTGGACGGTGTGTCCACTCTAAAGGTGCTAATGATCAACTCCTGCTGCTTTCTAGACTTCATGTGTTTCTCTACAACCTGCAGCTCTTTGTTGGAGGAAAACCAGCTTCATGACGTTTTTCTCTAAACCCAGTAAACCCGAACCTGCACCTGCTACAGGTGAGTCGTTCACAGTCCCACAGCAACTTATTGATCTTCTCAAACTTGAAGAAAATCCACGTTTTCCTGCTGAGCTTCATTTATCCCGCGGACCCTGAACGCAGCATAGATGCTAACTTAGCACGGAGCTAACGAGCGACGCAGCCTCAGAGCAGAACCGCCGTCAGCGCCTCTCGCTCGGACACCGTTCGGCTGTTTCCGGCCTCTGGCGGTGAGCCGGAAACGTCAAAGCGGATTAAAACTGAAGAAACGCCGCGAACTGTTTGTAAAAGCCCCAAAACACGAACACACAGAAAGCGGACTTTCCTACCTTTGAGTCTGACGCGAATAAAAACGTTTTCACCGCATGTTGCTGCTGAAAGTCTCCGTCTGAAGCTTCCGGCCGCCGCGGCGCGATTCGCTGTTTGTCCCCAACAGGCTTCCGCAACCTGACGTCACCGCACCACCTGACCAAACACTGAGTTTTGCCGCGAACGCGAGCAGCTCTCCCACATTTTCACTTCTCGGATTAAAGGTTGAGTTTTCGGGTTCCTGCCCGGTGGTCGTGATGTTCTGTGAGAAGGCCGTGGAGCTGATCCGGGAGCTGCACCGGATGAGCGACGGACAGCTGCCCGCCTTTAACGTGAGTCACCGGCGAAGTCCACCGCCGCCGACGTCCGTTTAGAAATCCCCTCACATGTTATAGTTTTGCAGTTGATCAGCTGAATTTAATGAATATTAAAAACATCAGCAGAGTTTATGTTACGGACCCGAACCCTAAAACCCACAACCAGGTGTTCACTTTATTTACTGTATGTGACGTGTCCGTGGGGCCACAGCGACCCAGCAAAGGCTCCACGCAGCACCTGAGAGCTGGACCTGCGGGTCACTATGACAACAAACACGGTAACAGCAGAGGCTCGGTGGTCAGCACCGTGGCCTCACAGCCAGAAGGTCTCCGGTTCACGTCCCGGTGAGGACACCCGGGATCTTCCTGCGTGGAGTCTCCATGTTCTCCCCGTGCAGCGTGGGTTCTCTCCGGGTTCTCCGGCTTCCTCCCACAGTCCAGAAACATGCTGAGGTTAATTGGTGATTGTAAATTGTCCGTAGGTGTGAATGTGAGTGTGCTTGGTTGTCTGTCTCTAAGTGTAGCCCTGTGATAGACTGGTTACCTGTCCAGGTGAACCTGCCTTCACCCTGAGTCAGCTGGGATAGACTCCGCCCCCCCCAGGTGAGGATGAAGGTGTAGAGATGATGGATATTCTGTGTATGTAACCGTCCCATGAACCGTCGGTACTGCTGATGGCTGGACTCACCACTGGTCCTGTATGGTGTCCTGGTCCTGGTCCTGGTGGAGGTCTGGGTGGTCCCTCGACAGACCCTACAGAGCTCAGATCCACATCAGTGCCGGTCTTAGCACCAGTGCATGTCTTCGTTATAAAGTCATCAGTTTATCACTCAGGGACCAGCGGCTCCTGGACCGGGGAACCGGGCCTGTGTAGAACCGCCAGTGGAGAGTCATTTAACAAACTGGTAAATGTTGGTTTCCATCCAGTGTGCTGACCCAGTTACTCCTTCAATATAACCATCTGGTCTGAACGGTTCTGGTCCAGTCACATGTTTGTCGACTCGGTGGAGTTTGGTTTCAGCACTGACCCGTAAAGACTGGAGATGGACTCAGTTCTGTTCTGTGTGCAGGAGGACGGACTGAGGCAGGTTCTGCAGGAGATGGAGGCTCTTTATGAACAGAACCAGAGCGACGTGTGAGTTCTGACAAACACAGTTCACTGAGCAGAACCTCAGCAGACACTACTGATCCTGTTTGTCCCCTCAGAAGCCTGATTGATGACTGTGATCACTTATTGATAACCAGGTTGATCAGTTCAATCAGAACATTTATGGAGCAGATCAATAACATTTGGACTGATTTTGTGGCTCTAACGATCATTATTGATTGATCAGCTGATTGTTTTCCACATGTAGGACCTGATTTAAATGGTACAGGTTCTGATGTTCTGATGGTTCTGATGGTTCTTCCATCCAGAGCGCTTCACAGCGTTTCTCATTCACACATTCATGCACCGGCAGTGATTCACTGAGCGAGCTCAGAGGTCTCAGTCAGAAGCTCAGCCAGCATTCACACAGAGCACGGACGAGAAGACGCTGAGGTCCCCTGATGAAGCTGATCACCAATAATCAGCTGATTATTGGTGATCAGCTGATCGGAGGTCTGCTGTGTTTCAGAAATGAAGCGAAGGCCGCCGGTCGCTCGGAGCTCATCCCCTCCATCAAACTGCGCCACTGCTGCCTGCTGAGGAACCAGCGCTGCATCACCGCCTACCTGTAACTCCGCCCCCACACACCTGCAGTCATGTGACCACTGCAGTGCTCCGCCCCCTTTTCACTGCTGTGTACCTGTCTGCAGGTACGACCGGCTGCTGAGGATCAGAGCGCTGAGATGGGAGTATGGCAGCGTCCTGCCGGCCAACGTCCGCTTCCACATGAACGCCGAGGAGGTCGGTGTGTGTGTGTCTGCTGTGTGTGTGTGTGTCTGGTGTGTGTGTGTGTGTCTGGTGTGTGTGTGTGTGTCTGGTGTGTGTGTGTGTCGTTGTGTGTCCACTGACCTGCAGTGGTCCAACCATTAAGGAAGTCGACCAAACATTCCAACTGTTTCCTCTGAGATGTGACAAGCTATCTGTTGTGTGTGTGTGTGTGTGTGTGTGTGTGTGTGTGTGTGTGTGTGTGTGTGTGTGTGTGTGTGTGTGTGTGTGTGTGTGTGTGTGTTGCAGCTGCAGTGGTTCGGCCAGTACAAGAAGTCTCTGGCCTGCTTCATGCGCTCTCTGGGTGCAGGTGAAGGTCTGGACATCACTCAGGACATGAAGCCTCCAAAGAGCCTCTACATCGAGGTGAGACCTGCAGCTGCTTCACCTGCGACATGCTGCTGCGGCGTGATGTCACAGCGCTGATGTCATCTGTGTGTTTTCCAGGTGAGGTGTCTGAAGGACCACGGAGAGTTTGAGATCGACGACGGCACGGTGATCCTGCTGAAGAAGAACAGCCAGGTGAGCCGCTCCTCTACGGTTTCATACCTGAGCACACCTGAGACGACCTGCGGCTCAGTGTGACCATGTGACCACATCATGTGACCCTCTGACAGCACACCTGTATGTAGAGCTGCTGGCTAACAGGGCTAGCAGCACCATGCTAACCTGGGTCCTCTCTGTTCTCAGCACTTCCTGCCGCGGTGGAAATGCGAGCAGCTGATTCGTCAGGGCGTCCTGGAGCACGTCGTGTCCTGACGATGATGTGGTCCAGGAGATGCCTCACCTGATGTGAAACACCTGCAGAGTCCAGTCGGTGTTCTGATGTCAAAATAAACCTTTTCCTATAAACGGAGTCATTATTTAACTTGACAGTCACTGAAAACCAAAACCAGCAGGAAGCAGAAACATTCTCTGACATAAACACGGCGCCACCGTTAGCCTGTTGGATTTTAGCAAACCATCAACCATAACTAGTCTTAGTTAATTAGTCTGAGCTAACTGCTACCTGTCTGGTTTTCGCTAACTAGCCTTCCTGTGCTAACAGTTTTCATGTGAAGTGAAAGCAGCCACAGCGATAAAAACATCATTTAATGTGGTTTTGTGTTACATCCAGAGTTTTGGTTTGTTGCACCTGAACAGGTAGAAAAGGACAGGAGCAGGAGGAGGTCTCCCTCTGAGGACCAAACAGACTGAACATGAGACCAGGACAGACACGAAAGCTTTATTATGATTATTACATTAGAGCCGCTGAGCCCTGAACAAGAATAAAGCCTCATGTCAACATTAAAAACAGAGAAACCGCAACATAAGGTACAATAATACTGAAGTACTGGCTGCTCCAGCCAGG